GGTCTTAATGCATTCTGGTATTGGTCCAGAAGGACATCTAGTCGAAATGGGCATCACTTGCAAGGTCGACTTGCCAGGTGTAGGAAGTAATCTTCAAGATCATACGATTGTATGTAATTTCTCAGCTTAACTATGCAATATTTCATGCTATTGTTCAGGTGTATACAACTTATCAAGTAAACGATTCAGATCTCACGCTCGACCGATTTATCTACTATTCACCAGAGGCTATTGCATTATCATTCAAAAAATGGCATGAAACGAAAACAGGACCCATGGCAGGAATTCCATTTGGTCCTTTTGCTCTGACACGAATAGATAAAACCATTCAAGATCCTGTTTGGGAAGCTGCAAAATCTGAGAAGCAAAAAGTTCAACCGTCTGAGTACGATCCGACTGGACAATGGCCAAATCAACCTCATATTGAGTTGTGGACTACAGAACTGCACTTTTGCGCACCTGTCTTCTCACAAGCAGGTCAGTCAATTAAAATATAGAAAGGAATCGTTGGGAACAATTGTCTTCTAAGTCCATCGCCACTCTCTATTACTTTAATCGGATGAACAATGACAGAAAATAGTCAGATCCTCCTATTTTGAACAAAGAGAAATAGAATGAATAGTAAACTGCCTTAAATTGTGTAATAAATATTCTTCTATCTACGTAGTCCAACATATTACAATCACTATGAGTTTAGTTTTATTAGATTGTTATTGACAATCAATCGATAGAAGCTGAAATGTTCCGATGAAGTTCATTTCGAAAAAGTATCGGTGAAAAATGTCACTTTTCTTCAGATGTATAACAATTCAATAAAATTCAATGAATAAGAGTCTTTCGATTTTACAGATGAGCTGCCACAATTTCCTGTAGAAGGTGAAGGAGCCATTACGCTAATTACTTTTCTGTGTGGACCACAAGCAAGAGGTACTGTACGACTCTCGTCCAACGACACAACAAGCAAACCAATCATTGATCATGCTTATCTTGAAAATGATCTCGATGTAGCTGTACTTGCTGAAGGTTGTCGAATTGGTGACGAAGTACTAATGAAAGGTCGAGGAACGAAAGATATCATTGCTGGTCTATGGCCAAAAACATTATCGCATCCAAAGAATCTTGATGATTGGAAAAAGCATGTGCGAGCCTTTGCTAATACCTGCTATCATCCGAGTGGTACATGTAAAATGGCACCAAACAGTGACCCGATGGGAGTGGTGGACAATCGACTCCGTGTGCGGAACGTTGCGGGCTTACGAATAGCGGATGTATCCATTCTCCCTTTAGTAAATAATGGACATACACAGGCTCCTGCATATGCCATTGGCGAAAAAGTTGCACATATGATTTTGGAAGACGCAACTATTAGAAGTTAGTTTCATTCAGTTTATACAGGTGGACAAGTGCTAATATTCTTAAAACCCATCTTTGTCTGTCGATTTGTCATAATGAAGTCAAACGCTCCTGTACTCATTAGAATTTGAACTTATCAGTTATTCATTTCCTTTTGATTGTTGAAAATTATTTGGTAATTTTAGTAAAGAATATATTAAATCTTACTATTGGTTGATTACATAAATCAATTGAAAATAGAACGACTTCTAGTATCTAAGTTACAAAATCAATCTGCTAATGTAGTGAACTATTGTGGTAAAGATAAATTCAGAAAAACAAATACTCAGAAAAACATCATATATCCACTAATTTGAGGCGTTCAGTAATGAAATTGATGATTGAGCCTTTGCTACTCAACTTGTATAACTCGTTTCACTTGAAACTTGTTGCATGCAAGAAAACCTGAAAGCATTAAAGAGGGAAAGTAAATGTTTCTTTTTTTATCATTATAAAAAATAGATATTCCGCTGTGTTTGAAGATGCTACAGAAAAATTTCAGTTGAATTGATTATCACGTATGAAATAGAAAGGATTAAAACTTTAAAATCTTTATTTTGAAAAATCATATCAAGAAAAAAAAAGATAATTGAATTTTCCTTATGAAACTTTAATGATCTTTTGATTAGAAAAAATTCATATCTATTTTTCAAAATGTATTCATCAATTACAAGACTCTTCAGACTAACTCATTATGGTAAATAAATCTTAAATTTTTGGAGCCCGAAAACGAGAAAGTCTGTCAACGTGCTTGTACTGGGAAGAACACGTATTATATTGTATTAAAGATTCAGTCATCGGGATTTAATCGATTCCCTGAAGCCAGCCGACCTTTTTTCAATTCACATTCTATTCTCAAAGCATAAACCTCATTATAACGTATTAATCAACATTGAATTTCAGTCAACCAAATGGTTTACAGAACACAAACAAGAAATTAAGACTTTTAAAATGCTGTTTGACAAAATTAACATGCTATAAGTCGTGCCACTTACATCAAACAACATTACTGGCAAATTAACATGTTAGAAAGTCATGATCGTTGCTCATGAAAATCAAGCTTCTAAGCATATGACAAACAAACACATTGAATCATACATAACGATTGTTAAGTTTCCTTTTTGACGTGAGCATTACTTGAAAAACACTTAAAAATTTGAATATATGCATGAAAATTCAGCTAATCAAGCAAAATAAAACGTATGTATGTTTAATCAGTCGAAAATGAAGTGGTGCACATGGCAATTCTCCCTACTTGTATCGATAAAGTATTTACCACATAGCAACTGTGTTCTATGACTGATTTTGTTTTTATTTCAAAGTATTCGATAGATGAAGCACTACTGAAAGTTTCGTCTATCCTTCAGTTTTTCATATTATGTAGAATCAAAACAAAAAGAAGTCAGTCATGTCATCAATATGTGTATCTCACACTAACAATTATTGGATTTATATTTTCAGTACATGCTTTCACATTATCAGCAGTAAATATTTCTATTAATGACAAAACTGTGTTCTCATAAGTACTCTAATGATATAGACCTATATATGTTTTTATTCTTTCAGGTGACTATCATGAAGGTGATATGATCTTTCACAATGATATAAGAGGGAGTATGCTAGTAAACTAATGAAATCGAGTTATTTTTTTTCACTGTATCTGACAACAGCGTGGCATTGACTTACGAGCAGTTAGTGAACGATGGCCAGGTGGCATTGTACCTTATAAAATCAGTTCAGATATTTGTATTTATCTTTCAGATTTTACTTTGTTTTTTAAACTATTCAATTTTTTTTCTCATTAGCTGAAGCAAATGCCAATCTAATTGTACAGCAAATACGAATCATAGAAAATCTGCCAAAACTAAATAACAATTTATGCATACAATATGGATACTGTTACTCAGCATATGTAGATAGTATTTCAAGTTCAAAAATCGAGAATCTAATTTCTTTAATATCTTAGGTAGGTTACAACATAAATTCTCGTGGTTTGCATTAGGTCACATTAATGGATTTCATAGATTCTGGAACATGTATGATTTCAGGCATCATTCAACACGAACTTATTCATACATTAGATAAAGATATTATTTATATTCAACTGAACGTACTCATTAATTAGGTTTACTATTTAGATTTCTATCACGAGCAATCACGTTCTGATCGTGATGAGTATGTCACAATTCAATGGTAGAACATTAATCCTAGTAATAAACATATAATTCGCTGAGATACCAACAAATTTCATATTCTGTTTTCTCAATTATAGGCCAAACAGCTAATTTTAACAAATATGATAATTCGACCGTCAACACTTTGAAAACCATGTATAATTATGATTCAGTAATGTACTATAATTCGTACGCATAGAGTCATTTTGATACTACATGATGCATTTATTCAGTATGCTAAGAGATCTGTGTGTACAGAAAAGAGTACCACTTGGAAAATGAACTGTGCTATTCATTGATATTCTAGAAGTTCAACGTTATTATAGCTGCGTCGAAACACTAACAGATACATCTACGAAAATGACAACAAGCGCCACAACAGCCATCAAAATAATCACGACGATGAACACCACATCAAGAACCGCTACAACTAAAACAACCGTTAGAACATTATGAATCGCGACAATCAGCACGCCATATATAATACTATATTAATATTTGTAGTTGATATGCTAATTAATTCAATTCTCATGATAATAACAATTTTAAAATGAGAAAGCAAAATACGAAAATGAAAATAACGATTAAATTACAACAATGCAAATAAAAAACTGAACATTCTTGAGAAAAAAACATGGCTATTCTAAATGCATAAATAAACAAGATAGATCTTTACTTTGGTGATCGATTATCTTAGAAAACAACTTATATAAAATTATGAATGACTCATTTCTTTATTGATATAATTAATCATTCGATTAATTCAATAAAGTTTTCCAGAAATTGTTATTTGTAATATTCCTTGAAAATCTTTGGAAATTAAAATTCAACGCTATGTTTGAATAACAGATTATTGTAAATGATGATAAAAATTTCCTTTGAATTTATCTTAATATTAAAATGCTCGATTAAAACAAACTTTAACTAAGTAAGTTTGCTGACAAACGCACACATTGAAATAGCAATGACACTAAGAAAGACTAACAACGAAAGTCAAAGAATGCATTCGCAACACAATTCAATTAATCTTATAGTATTTGCCAAAATCTGATTGATTTACTACTACTTTACATCACGATCAAATTCAACATAGTATCATGCATGCTGTTTTTTTTTCTCATAACACTATTTCTATTATTTAATCGTTTTGAAAGTATAGTCATCCAATGATGATAATCTATGGAAGGTCAGAATTTCAGTTCGATATGAAACTTTTCTGACGAATCTTCAAAAAAAAGTTTTAGTTCTGTGAATATTTAATACATTCTATAATGTTTACCAGTATGTATTTTCATTAAAACCGTGTGCCTAACTGGACAACATACTACTTAGAATTTACATGTAAAGACTGAGACCGATCTGACAGACTCTTTTAGTAGAATTGCGGTCATCTTAGCTTTAGCTTCGTTATTGTACTAATAGGAAAGTGACTCTTTCGAAAATACTTTTTTTTTTTTCTTCAAATATTAAGATAACCAGACAAAGCAATGAATAATCTTGAAGTACGATATTTAATAACAACTTGAATGAAATATATATATTTTTTAAAGATAGAAAGATGCATCTCTCATCACACAAAATAATAAAAAAAGTTGCGAACAGTATTTCTGGTCTATCGTTTAGAACGTAATGTTCATATGAAAAAAAAAGAAAAAAACGAGAAGTAAAATATTGTCTATTCTTTTTCAGCAATTCGTGTTAAATGTTGTTCAATTTCACTCTCAGGTAATATTCTAAAAAGACAAAATACAATATATGATTTGTTTAATTAAAACAACAAAATACTTACCGAACTTTATCATTATCTTTAGTAACAACACTGATTTCGATTTCATTTGGTTTTAAATCAGTTGAAAGAACATTAGCTAATGTTGAAATAGCTAACTAAAAATAAAAAAAGAAAAAAAGTTTTTCTAATCAATATTATTTTTAATTATATTTACTTCAATAGATTCATCATAGGTTAAATCAGATTTTTTCTTCATACGTTTTTCTAAGAAATTATTTGCTTCAGTTTGTTTTACACCAGCACTTGTTGCACGAAATCCACAAAAATATCCAGCTGGATCAGTTTTATATAACATTGGACCTTTTTCTTCATCCATACCAAATAAAATCATACCTTAATATATACATTTAATAATAAAAAAAACAAAAACAAAAGATTTAATTAACATACAACAACCAAGTGGTCTCATTTCAGCTTCTTGTGTATAAACTTGTGAAATATCAGCAATACGACGACATATAGCATCAACTGGAATATTATAACCATATTTATATTTCCATGATGCTGCTTCATATCGAGCTCGTTGAACTTGCCATCGAGAATCGGCTATATTTATTATTTTAATTAACAATAAAATAATAATAAACAAATCAATACATACCAACCATGCCTGTCATTAGGCATCCAACTGTTGGTGTTATTGCATGTAAATGACTAACTGATGATGGATCGAGTAATTTATCCTTAAGAAAATAAAAAAAAATGCCCATATTCAAAAGCTTAGAACAAAGCGAAATTGTTGTTTTGAAGTGCTCTATAACCATGAAATGACTCCGGACAAGTCACAAACGGATATTTATCACGCATCACCCACCCCGATAGCATACTGACTACGTTGTGAGATACATCTACTCTTGTGTTTATGGAAAGTGCAAGAACTTCACTTGAAATATTCAATATGATTCTATAATTCATGTAGGAGAATTGACTCATACTTCCAGGAGTTTGTTTATTGGTATCCTGATGAATATCCTTGTGATTATTTTAAACTTTCTATTTTTTCAAAATCAGCAACCTTCAAAGTTTACATCTAGATCAGAACCAAAAAGATAATCATAAATTGACTTCTATCTTTCTAAGATTCGACAATATGATATTTAATTACTTTAATCAAATGAATTGAAGTCCGATTAACCAATATTTAATAGTCAAAACATAATAACTAATTTTCTCACGAACAAAAAATCAGTTTGCTCTTCAAACAATCTTTTACATAAATATCAAGACAACCCAAATCAAAAAAATCTGACTGTAAGTCTTGTACGATCATATATAATCATGTCCGATTGTTCACCCTGGGAAGAACAGAAATAAAAGTGTTACACTAATATAAATCTTGTTGTGTACTATCAGATAATGTAATTGTTCAAATTTTCATATATCATTCCTTAGAATAAAATCAAATAGACACGTTATTATTTTCCTTAAAAACTTCACTTGATGCTTTAACATCTTCTAGAGTTCTTACAAAATCTATTTAAGAATAATTTTGTATACTAACTGGAATCTTTTTTTGAGCAATTGCAACAACACAATCAATACCACGTACAGCTACTGTTGTTAAACCACCTTGATTAATAGCTTTAAATGCATATTCTATATTACAAAAAACAAAATAAAATAAATTGTTTTTTTCGATGTATATACTGACCAACTTGATAAAGTCGACCTTCTGGTGAAAATATAGTTATATCACGATCGAAACCAGCACTAGCTGTACGACTCATTTCTTTTGTTTTTTTTTATATCAAGAAATACCAAAATTTATGTATTATTTCTCGTCTCAAACATTGAATAACCAATTAAAAAACTGTCGCTCTTTTCTCTCCGAAAAAAAAAGGTGTCACTTAAAAAAATATAAAAAAAAGTTTCTTTAAAGAATAAAAATTTCTTTTCAAATAATTGTTTTATTATTTTTTTAACGTTTTTTTTTTTTTCTTCATATGATAAAAGTTAGCCACGCATCGGCTAATTTTTAATTGGTGAAATAAAATTGGTATGCGTGTTGGTGTAGGTTATATTTCTTCGTTCGATCGCATCTGTTGTCTGTCACATACATTATACATCGTTTTTTCCATTTGAAATATGAACATAATTCGATTATTTTCACTTATAACAATTTTTGGTTTATTATATTTTTCTACAACAGGTAAAAATAAATGATTAAATTTCAAAATAAAAATTAAAACAATTTTCTATTTAGTTGTTTATGGTGATGAAGATAAAATTGATAGTGATGATGTTGAAGTTGATGAAGATGAACCTATTGTAAATTTAGATGAAACTTTAACAACAACAACAACAACAAGTGATAATCTTGTAAGAAAATTTTTCAAAAATGAAATAATTCAAAATTATTTTTTTTGTTTAGGAAGAAAAAGAAGAAGAAGATCCAAATCGTATTCCATCTTCACCTGATTTTCGTACAATTTATATTTTTATTCAACCAGCTAAAGCTAATGGTATGTTTTATAGAATATTTTGATTTATTAAAAAGAATAATTTAACTCTTATCATATTGAAATTACTTATCTCATTCTTCATATTTTTTTTCAATCTAATCGAATACAGAATATATACAGTGCCGGTTAAAAATATAAGATCAGCATATTTTTGAGTTTCTCTATCAAATGCATAATAAACTATATCTTCACAGATGAATTAAGACAGTGAAGGTCCTAAAAACCAGCATTTATTAAGTCCTAGAAGCATTTGTCAGAGCCAACTTTGAACAGCGCCATCTTAAAGAACGCAAAATGAAGAGTCGCCGCGCTTTCTACGACTTTTCCTTGCAAAATTACAAGCATCACAAAAAGTGCTTTTTGCGATGCTTGTAATTTTGCAAGGAAAAGTCGTAGAAAGCGCGGTGACCCCTCATTTTGCATTCTTTAAGATGGCGTTATTCAAAGCTGGCTCTGATGAATGCGTCTAGGACTTGAAAAATGCTGGTTTTTAGGACCTTCACTGCCTTAATTCATCTGTGAAGATATAGTTTATTATGCATTTGATAGAGCAACTCAAAAATCATTATTTGGCTTTGAGATAGATGCGTGGTGTAGTAGAAAAAAAATATGCTGGTCTTATATTTTTGGGCAGCACTGTAGTTGTAATATACTCTAATAATTGTAGGAGTATAAAAATAAATAAATTTATTTGAAATGAACTATCCTAATGAATATTTTTTTGTTTTGTTTTTAAAGAATTAATTGCTGGTAAATTAACTCGTTTACTTGTTGGTGCACGTAATAATGGTACACAAAATTTTATTATTGAATCTATTGATGGTTCATTACGTTATCCACAAGATTATAGTTATTATATACAAAATTTTACAGTATTACGATCAGAAAAAATGATTGAATCTGGTTTAGAATCAACATTTGAATATTTATTTATGCCAAGTGAAACATTTAATGGACGACCAATGGGTTTAGTTGTATTAATTAATTATCGAAATAATGTATGAGAAATAATTATTGTTTTTTTTCTAATTATTTTTTGTTTTTTGTTTAGGAAGGAAAACGATATCAAAGTGTTGTTTTTAATCAAACAATTAATTTTATTGATGCTGATGAAGGATTTGATGGAGAAACGTAAAATTATTTATTTATAATAATTTTTATATATTTTTTTTTTTCTAGATTTTTTCTCTATATTTTTCTTGGTGCAATCTTAGTTCTCTTAGGATTTTTAGCTTATCAATATTTACTTTCAAATCGTGTTAAAAGAGTTAGTAGTAAATTAACATCTCAAAATCTTAGTAGTCAATTATCAAAAGGTAATTATGATGTTGATTGGATTCCAAAACATCATCTTGTTCAAAGTAAATATATATAGTCTTTTTAATATAAATTTATATTAATTTTTAAAATTTTTTAAGATCGTTCACCAAAAAAAAATCTACGTGAACGAAAATCTCGACAAACAAATGAAACAAGTGGTACAGGTCCAGTATCAAGTGAAAATGACGAATAAATATACACAACAAAAAAAAAGAGAGACACTTAGTTTTCTTTTTTTTTTTATTATTATTATTGATCGTTTTTATTTAAATCAATCAGAGAGAGAATAACGTTGTGTCATTATTATATCGTGTTTTTGTCTTTTACCGATGTAGAATGATTACTCGACGGTGGATTTTGTTTTTTTTTTCTTGTTATTGTTGTTTGTTTTCTTTCATTGTGGTCCTTGATTTTCTCTTTTCTTCCAAACATCTAATAAAAAGAAATATAAAGTCTATATCATTATAGTAATAGACAAAAAAAGAGAAATCATTATTAATGTTTTGTCATGAAATCAAATTTTTCAAGCATATGTTCAATAATCATTTCATTTGACATATTATTATGTTAAGGGGCAAGCATAAAACTTGCAACAGTTTTTGCCCTTCACCTAAATGCTGCTACTCACATTAATATTACTCTTCTTCAGAGGTATGTCGAAACATGATATCAGCCAGAAGCGAGATTTGCCTGATGGAACAGAAAACGCAACTGACTAAGATCGAATATGGTATTTAATAGACCTTAATTATATTCTTCGCCAATATAATATAGACAATCTGTAGGGCCATCTTTCTCTTATATTTTCATATAGGTAGTATGTGCTCAAATTGCAGAGTATCATTTTCCGCATAAATTCAGAATTTTAATAAAGTATTTTATCAAAAATATACCGTAGAAAAACAAATAGAACTGTTTTGAGAAAATAGTGATTTAATGCATATAAAAACTACAGGGTGGCCCAAAAGTCACGCACCAACGACAAAAAATTGAATATCTCCCTTACAGCTCGAGCAAACGAGCTGATCTTTTTACCAAGGAGAGAGGCATGTTCACATTCCAAATCCATACGAACAAGGTTAGTGAAAAGCTTTGTTAAGTACATTGTTTTTTTTTTTCTTATCTTTGAAAAAGTAAAATTTTCTTGTTCCGATCAATAGTGATACTTAACAAAGGTTCTCATTAACCTTGTTCGTATGGATTTGGACTGTAAACATGCCTCTATCCTTGATTAAAAAAGAATGAGCCCGTTTGGTCAAGCCATAATAGAGATATTCAATTTTTTGTCTTTGATGCGTGACTTTTGGACCACCCTGACTCTATCAAAACCATATATAAATCAAAGAGTAATAAAATTCACTCGAATTTTACATTCTGAACATCTTAAATTTTTACAATACATGCAAGTCGATTCAAATCATTATTTTCTTATCGAAATCTTGTCTCGAGAACAGCATTCTTATGAATGTGACTAATTTCACCATGGTGCACTTTCGAACACCTTGTGTGACTACTTAAACATAGAAGAAATCAAACACTAATTTCAAAAGTTGCCAAGCCAACCCCTCCTCGTTTAAATAATAGTTTGTCATTATTTCATTTATATCGTTCCTTTAGGTCCAACCTTTTTCATTTAAATGATTAAACAAGCAAAGAAGCTTTAGTTGATTTAAGTTAAGTATACAAACATGACAAGGTATATGAGTGTTTTTTTTTCTCTCGATGCATCGTAAAACGAAAATCAAACATTGTATTTTTTTTAATTCGATGAAAAGCACTTATTTCTTTTTTTTTTTTTTTTTATGTTGCAAACAAATTTCAAATACATATATGATTCCTGTATTACATTCGATTGATAGTCTTCTTAATCGATTTGATGAATTATCCAAATGTCATAAAAATTTATTATCTAATTTTGATAAAAATTTTTCTGATATAAAAAATCCATTACGAGATGTTGCACGTTCTGAAGAAGAACAACAAAAAACAATAAATTCAAAAATTTTATTAGTAATTAATGAAAATAATAATCAAATAGAATCAATTAAAACAATAGAAGATTTTCATCGACAAATTATTAAAAATCGATATCTTCATCGACCACCAATTTATTCATCAAATGATAATTTATTATATCATCATGTTCCATCAAGAACATCATCTATAATTACTGAATCAACTTCAATTTCACAAACAAAATTTAAACCAAGAACTTCTTCATTAGTAGTACCAACAACAAATAAAATTATAAATGAAATAAAAACTAAACCAAAATTTATACAACATCATTCATCTATTCCATTACGTAATAAAATTACAACATTTACTATGGAAACTATTAATCGTCTTTCAAAACCAAAAACATATCATCAATTATCAAATGAAAAATCAACAATAAAACATGTTGAACAACGATCAAAATCTTATAGAAAAATTAAACAAGAAAAATCTGAATGTTCTACATCAATATCTGTTCCATTACCATCAATTAAACGAATACAAACAACAAATATTAAATCAAATTTAAAAAAACTTACAACAGAAAATAATATTCCAATACAAACACAAAAAAAAGTACCTATTGTTAATTATTCTAATCCACTTATTTTTATTAAATCACCATCAACTATAAATCTTTCTTTTCCAATGAATTTACAACAACAATCATCTCATTTTACTATTTTACCTAAAATTATTACTACAAACAAAAGATCAATCATACAATTGAATGCATAAAAAAAATTTATATAGTTTTGTTTCAATATTCTAAATTAATCGTCATTTAATTAACATACAATTTTTTTTTTGAACACAACAAACTCTTAATAATAAGAAAATCATATATCTAATTAAATGAAAAACAATATTTTTCATTGCTTACACAAAATAGCATGTATATATAACCTTTATGATGTATTTGCTTTTTTTCTATTCTCTTACTTACATTGTCTGATGATTACGACAAAGTCCAAATATTAAAAAAAAAACTACCTTGCAGTGTGAATTGACTAAGTAATAATTTTCATATTTATTTTCAGAATAAGAAGAAACAAAAATTATTTAAGTTGGTATTTATTTCGAATATCATTTCGTGTTTGTTGATTAGTTGCGAATGTATCACGTAATTGAGCATGATGAGCTTCACGTTCTTGATCGATTGCTTCTTCATCTCGTGCTATTTGTTGATTAATTAATCGTCCACGAATATTGATACATGCTGGTTTACAAGCACAACAATAAATACAACATATTATAAGAATAACACCAACAATTAAGAATACAATTAATAAAATAAGATTTTGTGTATCAAGAACCATAATTTATTCGAATAAATTTATGTGTGTACTTCGTAGTAAAAATGCAACAGATGGTTGATGATGTTGCTTTTTTCTGTTTCTTTTCGTCTTCTGTTTTTGATGAATCATCAACTATTCGTCAGACATTTACTTGTTTTTATCATTCTTTTTTTTCCTTTTCATGTTGTAATTTTTGTATGGTCGATGTTCGTAAGGACTTAAATTTTTTTTTTCAAATATATTTGCAGATATGAGTTTTATCGATTGATATTTGCTCTTATCATTTAGAAATATAAATTTTAAGGGTTTTCAACAGGCAACATCTGAATGAATTTGTTAAAATCATGGAAAGTTAACCCGCCAACAGATGTTGGATTTGCTGTTAAAAATTATCAACTGCTTTTAATTGCCTGTCAGATATTCTCAATTGTTAGTAGTTTCAAGTTAATTCTTTCGATAGGAAAACCTTTTAATTTTGTTCTGTAATAAATTTAAAGAAGAAAACATCAGACTTATTAATTCTTATCAAAAAATGTTCTTTTTTTTTCAACAAAGTCAAACTAAAAACAATGCATAGATGTTATTCTCAATATCAGTTATTGTGTGTCACTAAATGAATTTCATATAGTATGTCTTTGTGGTATGTTCGTTAATTGACATATTAAACAGACAAAGACTCACCGATTTAATCAAAAACTATTAGATTTTCTTCATAACTTAATTTATAATAGTGACTGAAAATATAAGATGCTTTTCTTAATACATACTACCCACGGAAAAATTTTTCAGAAAAAAACCGCAGTAATCTGAGATTAATCGCGGTTTTGTTCCGTATTTTGAAAAACCGCGAAAGTCAGACCATTTATGCATCTTTTAAAAACCGGTTGAAACTGCGGTTTGTAATATCGCGGCTAGTCCTGCAAAAACTCAGCTCGGACCGCGGTTTTCACCGGTTTCAAAAACCACATAAACGGTCTGACTTTCGCGGTTTATGAAACCGCGGTTTTTTCTTGAAAAATTTTTCCGTGGGTATAACAACTCTATTTAATACTTTGATATTGACTATGGATGAATATTCATTTAAATAGTATCGATAACATTCTTCTATGATATGATATACAAATCTGGAGAAAAAAAACAAATAAATTGTTTTTCAGTGATATTTAAAACAAAATTAATGAACTATTTCATCAGAAAATTTCTCTTTCAATAATTAATTTTAAATAAGTCTTATTAATTGTTAAAATGTATCTAAATCTATTGAATGTTCAGATGATTTCTAAGTGTATTTTTTAGGTATATATGGTATACAATTTGGTAAGATAACTTAGTCTGATATTAAATGTATAGTTACTTAGGAGTACATGTTTGAAGAAAACAAATTAGGCATGAAAACGAAAAATTGATGATTTTTTTATAAAAATATGAATGTTCACAAGTATATCAAGAAAACTTTCTAGAAGTTTATATGTAAACAAACAGTTAAAATAAACTTTGTTTTGCCTAATAATTGTCATGAAGATCACTTTTTCTTATCTATAAAATATTTAAGCCTTATCTATCTGTTCTCTAATTGAACAAAGTTTTGAAAATATTCCTTTAATATATCATGCAAAATTCACTCAATCTACCGAGCATAAGAATTTCCATTTCCATTTAACAATAATAAAAAGAATACAGTATTTCATATGCAGTATAAATATCGAACATTTATACTTCAATAGAAAAATTTTTTAAAAAGTTTTCTTTTTTTACATCATATGCTGTTTCATAGGACTATTCACATTTTCAATTCCAATATGTGGTCTCATATATTGCTTTGTTATAAATACAACTTAAAAATAAATAACATAATGCAGTATTTATTAAAATATATAAGTATTGCGATGTAATTATTAATACAGTTTGTAGATGATTAATTGTTTTATACATTGCACATTAAATGCCATTAAATGCATCAAATTCATTATTTCGACCAGTTGAGGTCAGTACCTACTACAGTTGTCTTTCTTGCTATCTATACTCATGAAGATTTTATCTGAAATGAAAAAGGAATAAGAAATCGAGAAACTATTTTTATAAATTTCTTATGCTTACGTGGTATTTTTTTCGCCTAGACGATAGTGTT